ACACCCGCCATACGTCTTCCCTCTTTCTCTTTCACTCAACGTTCCGTTTTCTCTGCATTCATTACCCATTCCCACATATATGTAAATATTTTATATAATACATATATAAATAGGACCCAACCAGACGGAAGCCCTCGGCAGGGGAGACCAAACCTAAAGGGTTAGGGCGAAAGGGAGAGAAACTGGCGGACGATGCGGGCGGTATCGAGGAGCACCGCCTTCTGCATTTGAGCTTGGAGCGATCCGTCCCGGAGTCCCAGTCGCCTCAGATGTTTAGAGAGGCTGACTGGGATTAACCCATTAGCAGAAACGACTATCGGGATAATTTCGGTCGGCACACCACCCCACATGTCGGTCACCTCGTGAGCCAGGTCCAGATACTTTGTCTTCTTATCTGTTTCGGCTTTCACGAGGTTTTCGTCATATGGAATGGTAATGTCGACCAAAAATACCCGCGACTGTGCCCAGTCCATCAACACGATATCAGGTTTGTTCGTGACAATCGTCCTGTCCGTGATGATGGGCCGGTCCCAATAGAGCCTGGCGCGGTCATTTTCGAGCTCGGCTTCCGGATAGTACTTGTAGTACGGCAGTTTTCGATCCACGAGGCCGTAATTCAGAGCGAGCTCCTGGTGTAGGATTCTGGCTACTAGGTTGTGTCTATGCAGATACTCAGAGTTAGAAAGCATGGAACAACCGGAGATAACATGCCGAAGCGACTCCCCGGGATGGCGACAAGCTCGACAGATGTCGACGGTGCCATCCTTTAGGGTGTATCTCCTATAGTTGTTCGTCTTAATAACCTGATCCTGTATCGCACAGACAAAACCTTCGGTTTCCCCAAAGAGGTCACTGAAACGTAGCTAGTTAAGGGAGGCAACAGTATCTACGAAAGGCTCGTTTAGAGCCTTGTAGAACCTCCCATGGAGCTCTTTCTCCTTCCATACGGTCCCACGGTCGGAAACGCTCAGTACTCCCGGGTCCTGCCATTGCTCGTTGGCTAATGATAGAACGACCGTCGGCGGCAGCTGGTTCCACAGAGTGGTTGTGCGAGGGGGCAGGACGGCCTTGAAAATCACGTTGTTGTGGAACGCTGGACATCGAGGTAGTGTCGATGAAATTTTTTGTTTTGGCGCGATGTCCGATGGTGAAATTCAGCCGCCGGGATCAATCCAAACAATTGCTCGGGAATCCCAGTGATAGATGCGGTAGAAGATGCAGAATGATCCAACATCTCTACGTAGAGCCAAAGGATCAAGCCGATCGGAAAGACTGCCCTACGTTGGATGCGGTTAAATGGAAGGAGCTGGTAATAGAGGGCTCCCGCCCAGAGATGAGGATAGTACTCCATGTGGAACCAAATTTGCGCCTTATAAAAGTTTAAAGGCCAGGTAGGCCAGTTTTTAGATATGCTATCTATCTCACTCCCTGACGTCATACGGGGTATCTGGCTGGCGGTAGACACTTCGTCGTGCGAAAGTGTTTAATCGTTTTCGGAGTAAACACATTTAGGGATCTGATTCATCTTTATTCAATTTACACCCTTGTAATGTAATAAATAAAACTGTAATATAGTTTTCCCATAGTTTATTTACCCTGTGTAATTAAGGAAGATGTGATTAAATAATCTGGAAAAATAGTTTCAAATGTGTTTTCGCGAAAATAAAATAAATTAACAGTACGTAACTGTTACATTGGGTAATTCGTCAAAACTCACAGTTAGTCCAAAAGTTTTCACGTTCATTTTAACACTGAAATATATTGTTTGAACAAGGTGGTTGATAAACGTAAGTATTTTATTATAGAAAAGCGTGGGTTACTTTTTAAGATCATTCCATAACGACTCTTGTTTTACTAATATATATATCTTCGTGTGCAGTTTTATCGCGCACGAACATAAATATCAGTTGTTTGCGACGTCAAAAATTTGAACAGGGCAATGAAATGTATCGTGGATACAAATTAAAAGAATTTAGATATTTTTTTTTTCAACGTATATAATTTGGTGTGTAAGGAAACGTGATAACTTTCGTATAGGTGGTATAGTGATCGATTTCACAATTTTTATGAAGTTGAAAGAAATGTCTTTCTCAGAATACTTTTTTTTCTTAACATAAAAAATATAATACAAACGCGGAAATATGAAAAGAAAGTAAAATTAAACTAAACTGTCAGGCGGAAGACGTGCTCGAAGTAAATCCTTTGCTTTTACAGCCTGGCAAATTAGGTTTCTACGTGAATTGAATAATAGCGGGAAAATCGAGTCATTTCGGCATATTCCTCAAAACGGGTGCCGTGACTTTTTTTTAGTTCCGAATATATACCATACGCGGTTAGGTATTCATTTAGATAAATAAAATCAATTTGTATTTATCAGTTCATAATGTTTTTTATTCATTTATGTTAACAAAATTAACCCACCAATTTTATTCTGGAGTGTCTAACAAATATGATATGAGACGAATCATCGTCATATGAGTTTGTGCTGATGGTTTATTATTTATGGGAATATATTAAATAAGGTCGTGTTTATTATAGAACACATTACATACGAGGCGGATAAAATGAAATGTACACTTTTGCGCGTTGTTCAACTTAGCAAAGCGTAACCGGAGAATAGACAAGAAGAGAGGGAAAGCAATCAATCGCTGTTGCAGACAAAGCAGCCTCATTATTCAGCACGTGAGAACAATCTCGCCGAGGTGCAGAACCGCGGGCTGTTCCTGAAGGAAATCAATTCAAATAAACGATGGAACTTGCCGCTCCTCGCTCCGTGCAAATAAAGAATTTTTCGTGAAATGAAATTGTTAAGTCTGCAATTTATGGTACCGTTATGAAATATTAAAACATTGCAGTAATTGATAACCATAAATCATAACATTTCCTTTAAAGTGTTTTCAAAGTCCTGGTCTTTATGTAGTAATGAATTGTATTTCGTTATTTTATAAAAGATAAGAGTTTTTCAGAAACCATCTAATAGCGCGATATTGCTCCGTTACAATTAACAATGAATTTGTATAAGTGAAATTTTACACTACATAATAATTTCTTAAACTAAAATTATAATTAGAGTAAATGGCATATAATTATTACACTTTATTTATGGTACGAGGAAAGTTCTTGATGTATCGTGCCTCGTACTTGATAATAAGTCAACGAAACACTCTCCTCAAATGAAGGCTCTCTCGAAGGTCGCGTACTTGTAACTTTAACAATTCCGGATGAAGCGATTTCCGCACGATATTCAATTAATGGAGACAGCCAGAGAAGCCTAAAATGTTAGATTCTTATATAAACTGAAATTGTGCAAAAAATAAAATAAAGCGATTCATTTATGGAATGATTTATTTTACTACAGTTTATTTTACTTTAGGTTTCAGGCGAAGAACAAAAAAATTTAAGCGAGCGCTGCTATCTGGAAAGAGTGAATGAATTTCTCATTTCAGTCTTTGTTTGTTGTTGCTGTTTTTTGCCTATAAATTTTGTTTGAGATTCGCGACCTGAGTTTTGAGCGACCAAATACGGTCAATGAGTTGAAGATAGAAATGATTTATGTAGTTTACATGTTTGCGTTGCGTGCTTTTACAGGGTTTATGCAAATCAAAGCAATTTTCATAGAATTTCTCAGTTTTGAATAATATGAAGAAATAAATATGAAGTAATAGAATTTATGTTCTGTATTATTAAAAAAATAAGGACAAAGAATCTTTAATCATTTTAACGGATTTTGATATTGAATTTACTATCTTAACTAATTAATGAAAAATTTATGGAAATTACCTAACTTCTATCGTCAGTTGTCTTCAATTTTATCAGTAACACCAAATATTTTTACAAGTTAGTTTTAATAAACTACGTTTTGTGGGTATCCCTCCTTCAGGAAGGTCTGTATTAAGCATTTTTCATTCAAAGTATAAGTAAAAATAAAATATTAAGATATCAATAACATTCCAGATTCTTTGAGAAAGTTTTCTTTAGTGACTTATTAATTGTATGCACTTGATAGAGCGACTATGCATATTTTGGTCATAATAGTACTTTCTTTTACTGCCGAGCTTTTTCAATAATCGGCGCTTTTTATTATTTGAAATTGCTGCAGTTGGTATCGTTACTGGGATGTTAATTTAATTTGTTACAAGATATTGTATTATTATACATAAAGCAATGACTTCAGTCACACAGGAACTAAGATTCTATTGATTTGTAATTTGTTAAAAAAGTTATTGTCTTATAAAAGGAAGGTTTCATAACAGTAGTTTCATATTCTATGACTTTGTAAATTGAATTGTGAAGGTCGCCTGCCCAATCGGTACCGGGTACTGACTTGAATAGGGTTGAGGGGGTGGATAATTGATTATGCTCGTGTATATTGATAACCAAGCCTCGTATAAACTTTGGTTATCGATTGCAACTAAATGTTTATTCCTCATATAATATATGACAAATTTTAAATACAGCTTATATCAATTAATCGGCTTTTATATTATACATTCAATTCGCTACAACAACTAAACATTAAAGATCTATGGTCTATGATGGCCCTGACGAACACGTGCAGGGATCGCGCGGCGCCGTAATGGTATTTTTCGTAATGATAATTGTTTCTCACTCACCCCGATTCCGATGACTCCTATCACCGTTTAGGAGGGGAGGTTTCAGGGTGCGGATTTGGCAGGGAAAGTAGGGGATGCTGATGTACGGAGTGGCAGCGCGGCCAACACGCATCAGCGTGACACAACTGCTTAATTGTCCTTACGGGTTAAATTATATTGTACGCTGGCGATTGCCAAATATAATATTGATTTTCCGTTACCTTAATGTTTTCCGTTCTTACAAAAACCAAGCGCTAAATTCGTCAAGTCAAAAGGCCTCGAGACAAGTTTGACAGATGCCGCGTGATAGTCATGATTGTACTGTAGTCTTGAGGTGTTTAATTAACATAGGCACTGATTCGGTAAGAAAAAGATTTATTATAATGACTACCGGTTCTCCGTACGTGAATGCCGTCCGTACGGAGAACCGGGCGCAATATAAGAAGCAACGATTCGAGTGGGGTGCGTGCAGCCCGCGCCCGCGCCCGCGCCCGCGCCTTCCCCTCGCTCGTCGTATGCGCCGCAACAGTCACGTCCGGTGTTGCTGTCGTAAAACTCAAAGAGAAACCACAGATTGTTTTCGAACAACTTGGTACCTCTATAGTTATGTATATTCTAAGTTTATGAACAATTTGCTTTGTCTAGTTCTGTTATAACAATAATTCAATATTATACCAAATATTTCATTCGTAATATCTGTCGCATTCGTGCTGCATTTGCTATATTAGTGTACAACCTTAATCAATGATAAGTCATTGTCTGAAAATAGTTATTACGTTAAGCTGCATCAGTTTCAAGTCAGTCAAAGTTTACAACTTTGACTATAGCGCGATGTTTCGTGTAAAATGAGTTCATTTAAATCAAATTCGTTGGAAGGAATTTCGTTTGAGTCCAATTTATTCCTTGGTGCGATATCATAGTCCATTAAATGTTACCCGTGTCAAGGGAATTTAAGTTATTCGCTGTGCTGTATCACTTTCGTGGAGCCGGACAGGACGTGGCTTAGCACAGAGCGCCGCCCGCTTACTATTAACCCTTGCTAATTTCAGTTTAAAGAACAAAGCTTTCCTTACCGCTGTAAATCCGCAAATAACGTGATGTATTATTTTTTTTATGTGAAAAGTTGCCAAGCGAGCAGACTGTTCACCGGATGTTAAGTGAATACTGCCGCCCATGGACATCTGCTACCCCCGAGAGTTCCAGATGCGTTGACAACCTTTTGAAAATTGGGCTCCGGCAACCTCACTCACCAGACGAAACGCGAAAGTTTTATACTTCCACTTTAAGCCGGTCTTCTGTGAGTTCGTGGTACTTACCCGGACGAGCCTGCCCATTCGTGCAACAGCCGAGGCTGTTGCGTGGGCCTACCACCGTAATGAATGAATTAAGATTAATTTTTAGATATAATTAATTCACCGTAAAGAAACATGAATCAATTGTTTCTTAAAATTTGTAGAAAATTAAAATTTGTGGAATAAGTACGAAAATTTTGTCGCCGCTGTGGGGATCGCATTCGCGGCCTGACGCTCTAGCCACTAAGCTAAACGGCTGATTGCTACATCGACGAAAATCTTAACGTCTTTTAACTACATTGTTTTTTTAGCATTTGAAGCAATGCTTGGCGCATCCATTGTTATTATATCCTTTCCAGCAATTTCGAATATCGTTTTACAACGATAATTTGAACGAGAGATGTCGCCATTGCTTCTTAGAAATTTAATTTTTTTATAGTGCTAATCTCTGCACTTAAGATTGAACATTAAAATTTGTAAAAAAAGTACGAAAAGATTGTCGCCGCTGTGGGAATCGAACCCAGTTCTTCGCCTTTCGCGGCCTGACGATCTAGCCAAGTCAAGGGTTTTTGGTTCGTAAAACATATGCCTAGTATGTATTCGATTGGAATTCACGCAGCTAGAGTATACTAAACGGAGATGATTAGAACATTAGGGTGCGAAAAGCTTGTGCCAAAGTTTGCGATGCGTACAAACTGACCTCACAAAATATTTTTTAATGTAAAAAGTTGCCAAGCGAGCAGGTGGTTCACCTGATGTTAAGTGAATACCATCTGCTACACTCGTTTGCAGATGCGTTGACAACGTTTCGAAAATTGGGCTCCGGCTACCACAGACTACCTCGGCTACCACTCATCAGACAAAACGAGAAAGTATTAAACTTCCACTTTACGCCGGTCTTCTGTGAGGTCGTGGTACTTACCCGGACGAGCCTGCCCATTCGTGCAGCAGCCGAGACTGCTGCGTGGCCCTATCACCGTTAAATCGTTTTATAGGTTACTAAGAACTTTCAATGTGACCCAAGTAACATCATCAATCGTAAATATTTAAAATTAAGATATATGAGAAAATGAAAATATTTTCTGTTTTCTCAGAAATCCGCGTGAAGATGCTAGCAAAATAAAAGGCTTTCTTATATAATATCGATCGAAATTCTCTATATAATTTCGTTTGAACATAATATTACTGCAAATCTATTGCGCGCGACGAGAAACTAATTTATATTAGTCTGTCAAAATGACTTTTAACAAGTCATTTTGATTTGATTCACAGAGTTAGATTACCTCAGAAATAATTCAAATTAGCAAACTTAATTTGCATTGATTTTATGATACTGCTTCTAGAAATTAAATGACCTAATAGGAGGCACATACGAGGACAAAGCAACAATAAAGAGAGGCATTTACTTCAGAATTAACGTTTGTTACATTCATTAAAAACAATCGTATCGAACATCTAACGTTATTAATATACAATCTCTATATCTTTAATTTGAACCTTTCTGTGTCTAGAACAGTTGCCAAGGGAATGGTGATCCCTCCCCTGCCTTTCAGTCGTATTTTAAACACGTTGGTGGTACACGTTTGTCCATCACAGTGACACTTGTGCCTGTGACGAAACCATAGCAAATTCATGGGAACAAAATAAACCATAGCAAATTCATGGGAACCAAATAAACCATAGCAAATTCATGGGAATTTGCTATGGTTTATTTAGTTTGTACTTATCTCATGAAACATTTCCCTTTCCATTTATTTATCGGCTTGATATTATGTACATTTACTGGTCGATTGCTTACCCGTTGGCAGTGGCAGTATCCAGCATTAAGAGCTAGAGCAGCGAAGAGTAATTACTATTCCATGCTGATCATACCACCCGCTGCCAATGGGATGGTTTTCTAACCCAGCAAGGGCCGCACAGTTTACAGTTTTTAAAACTCTCTACGTGCCCTCGCACTGTAGACATCGATGAGGATTGTATTTCTGCAACATCGCAGTAAATGATAATAACGATTTGAGCAATGAAAAATACAATGCAGTACGATGGCTACACACGGAAGACCTCACTGAAATGAGAATACACGGTCACCGTATGTTTTCATTCCACGTCCGCTGGGAGCGCACTCGTGTCGTTGACAAGCGTTATTCTCGTGAATCCAAATAGAATTTTATTATGATCGAAAAAGGTTTTTTCGGAAACGACTTTACGAGTATCTAAACATGTTATAATAACTATATAAAATAATTGACAATTATTTGATTTTATTCATATGAGTGATTATGCTATATTTTTTTTTAGATTTTAGATATGAGATTTGATGATATTAACTCATATGAGTATAAGAACGCACACGAACAGTACATTAGCATAAATGAAGATTATCTACCATTATTATTTTCATCAAGTGTGTTATTTTTGTTAAGTGTCCAACCTAAAACTAGACACGTGGATGACATGCCTCCATCTGCAAATGAGGACTAATCGTACCAATTTTCCGTAAGCGCAGGAAACAATTCAACACTGTCCGAGAACACATAGAGGCACAGAAAACGTAATCCGTGACATGTGTAAGTTGGTGATCAATAGAATTCTTGCAACCCGAAGTTAACAAATCCGTTTGTGATTCAAATAATTAAATGTGTCCTTAACAAAAATTATATTAAATTATATAATTACGTTTACATTTCATTCACATATACGGAGATACGACAACTATAACCCAAAGTTGCAGATTTAGCATGTTAATATTTCCAAAAAACGTGTTGTTATGCATATTATCTGTTTCAAATTATGTAATCAATTAGTAATTTCTGATGCGCTTCAAGTGAAATGAGTAGAAAGCAGTATATTAACGCTCCCCGTAAACATTGCCTTGCTTTTAGATTTATTGCAACTTAGGTGGATGCCAAGAAGGAGCTTACGGCTGCATCGTGTCTGCATTGAGCAAACGGAGCCGCTGGCAACATCTGACGGAGAAGTGGCCTACTTCGCGTGCGGCGCGGCTCATCCGCCGTATGGTGCTCTTCAATTTTTCTTCTTCTTCAAATTCGTTAATATACCTTAAAACTCATATATATTCATACTGAGACTAAAATAATCTATTATTTTTATATATATGTACGATGGGCGTTGAATCATTGACAAACTAGTTAAATCAACGGTTGATCTCTTGTCAATGATTTAACTTTAACCCTTCATGAAATCAACTAGTTGAATTCGTCAACGACGTTTAGGAAATTGTAGTTTAATAAAATGGACTCGTTGAACGCAAACGTTATGATCCGAGTAAATGGAAAAATTTGAGTTATAAATAACTTACCCGAAATTTGATAATTATATGACAGATTTTATTAGATTTTTTTTATGTGAAAAGTTGTCAAGCGAGCAGATGGTTCATCTGATGTTAAGTGAATACCGCTGCCCATCTGCTACACCCGAGAGTTCCAGATGCGTTGACATCCTTTTGAAAATTGGGCTCAGGCTACCTCACTCACCAGACGAAACGCGAAAGTATTATATTTCCACTTTACGTCGGTCGGAAGTCGTGGTACTTACCCGGACGAGCCTGCCCATTCGTGCAAGAATGTCCTACCAATTTTTTGTGACAGATTAATTTGCTATTAGCCCCGCGTCTTTGACAGCTTTGGTGCAAAAACAAGTTCAGGGGAACAATAACTGGAGCACGACAATGGCACGAAGAAGCCCTCCCTTCCATTGCAACGCCACACCATGCTAACGAGAGAGGGGCAATTAGCTGACAGGAGGGGGGGGGGGGGGGGGCACCACACGATTCAAGTGCCCTTCAGATGGAGGTTCGAACATCAGCTTGGATCGCAACTGATAAAGTAACTCTAACCTACGCTAGCTTAAAAATGGCGCCGCCTGCCCGTCATACATACATAGGCGACTGCATTTATTTTTTAAATATTTTCTCTAGACTGCAGTCTACACGCTACACACTGTATGATGAAACACCAGATGTGCTCAAAATATATCACAGTATCCACTTGTCCACTATTCTTTTTCCACCCTTACCTAAGACCCACGTTTAATTATTGAATTAACTACATAAATGTTCGGCGTAATATTCCATTGTCTGCCTGAGGGGTTAATTAAGGAACATCAAGAAAGCAACTTGATTTAATTTATTACAGTCTACAAGTACTGCGGATTAATCTTTAATTAACGTTATTTCAATTACCCTTAAGAAGACCTTCGACATTAACCTTAAATTAATTCGAACTATTACGTTTGTTTGATATGCTAAACAACAATAAAAAACTATTGTATTTTTATTCTGAAAGTATTTCTTAGGGGTGCTGCTACCTCACCCATGGCCAAGGCTCTACCGTAGTACAACCTGTATTATTGATTTTAGCAAGAGATAGTCCGTAATATCTGAAATCATGATCCTAATAACGTTTTAAATATTCTAAACATTTACTTATACGAACGATCACCTCGAAAATAATAACTGAATTCGTTTATGATATAAAATTAGTACTCGTAAAATGCCCTTTTTGTGCGGAAAATGAGTTTGATGTAAACGCCAAATTCTATGATATTGTATATTCTATGATATTGTGTAGAACTTGACAGTGATTTTGGTGTGCCACAGGGTAGCATACTCGGACCGACACTATTAATTATCTACGTCAACGATATACTGCAATTGCGTCTACAAAATGCAGAAATAATATGTTATGCTGATGACACTGTTATCCTTGTCCATGGCAAAACTTGGCAAGAGTTTTACAAGCTCGCTGAGACAGGGCTACAAGAACTCCATCACAGTCTTAACATCAACTTACCTTGAATGCAACTAAATCGATGGTACTACCCTTTTACAAAACCGCGACATCAAAACCCCCAGAACACCTATCCATAAAACTTCACTCTTGCTCGCCAAATACAACTTTTACAAGCAATGATTGCACATGTGTAGCCCTAAAACACACTAACTCGGTTAAATATCTGGGAATAGTAATAGACGAAAACTTATCTTTTAAGCCTCACATTCATCAGCTTATTCTTCGTGTTAGAAAGCTAATATCCATCATGAAAAAATTGCGAAACTACGTGGCAAAAAATATCGTGCGCATGGCTTACCACTGTCTCTGTCAATCGGTCCTTGAATATGGTATAGCAGTGTGGGGAGGAGCTGGCAAAAGAACTATTTTGGAACTGGAAAGAGCACAAAGGGCAATCTTAAAGGTCACATTAAGAAAAAATTTTGACTACCCCACTAACCAACTCTACAACGAATTTCCAGTTCTCAGGGTACGGCAACTATTTATTTTAAAAAAGCATCCTTAACTAGTGCACAAGGGAGTAAAACTAAGAGACGACTATCAGGCTATTGTATCAAAACGTACCTACAGAATTCCTTGTCCGCGGACCAACTCGCTTCTCGGTAAGCGCTGTCCCTCATTTCTCCATGTCTTCGTGTACAACAATGTGTTAAAGCATTGCGACATCGCAGACCTCAGTACTTACTCTTGTAGGAAGCGTTTAAACATGTGTTGCTCTCTCTCGATTACGAGGAATCTGAAAATATTCTTAAGTAATACGTAACAAAACACACACACTCACGCACTCATGCATACATACACACACGAACACACACACACACACACACACTACTTCGTGCTCTCTTACCTGCGTTTTTTATTATTACAACCATTTATTTTTAAAATATTAATATAACTTACCTAAAGTACCGTCCATATAATTGCATTTTATGTATTATATGAAGCGCACTCCGGCTCCCAAGATACAGGCACTGCCTAGTTTGGGAGCCACAGTGTACTCATTTTCTTTTCCTTAGTGTAACTAACATTAATTAGATATAAATGATCTGTACTGATATTATTATAGAAATATATAAATAAATAAATAAACTTGATATGATATTGTATGTCAGAATATTATTTATATAGAACGTTATAAGACATTGTAATATTACCTAATAACAATCCTAATGTTTAAGCATTAATAATTGGAAGCTTTCAGGTCTCTGCGAGGAATAGTTTGTAGCGAAGGTGGGTCGGATCCTTTGAGAGGCACCAGGCCAGGGGCACGCAGCTGGCGCAAAACGAGTAGGAAGATGTAGCCTTTTTGAAATTTAAGTAATGCTTTTGCATTGCATTTCAAGTCGTATTTCTACCACGTAAGGTAGATTATCTCTTCACCGATAAGTGAGAATTATTCACGGTTTCTCGTATTATTGAAAAAGTAACATTTGTAGCACTTTCTTCGTTTCTTCATATTTTGTTACAATATGGAATGAGTTAACTGCAGCAAATACATTAATATTGCATTAATTATAATGTTTTTAGAGTAAAACGATATTCTTTAAATTATGATGACGTTTAATGCTGAAAACTTACTGTTGAATAATAAAATAACGAAATATATAAAATTTTCAACACCCAATGTGAACTTTGTAGAAACTGATGAACTTTACTTTTGGGAAGAGCTAGACCATATTGACTCGACTGTATTCCTTGGGATAACTAGTAAGTTGGCACCTATGGAGCATCAGTAGGGCTCCCATATTATTAAACTAGCGAGTAGAGTTAGCTCAGCAGAATCGCTGTTCGCCAAAGAATCACTTAGAAATTTCTTAAAAGAGATTAAAATATTGATTGTTGCCTCTCAGATGAATGTTATGTGAAAAATGTTATGTGTGTCCGTAAAAATAAGAATGATTGTTTTTACCTGGAACAAACAAAAACTAATTCTACACACGACTAGACTGCATAGAATAGGTTCTTTTATGGGACAATCTATACAATTTTACAACAAAATCTCAGAAAAAATTCTAAACAACAAAAACATTCGGAAATGACTGTCCACTCCAATTCCATAAGTGTCGAAGTTTTAAAGAGCGTAAACTATAAAAGGTTTACGTTAACTGCACGTTAATTCTCTAATTTGTTCTTCAACACCCCATAATTGTACTAACGACAAAAAACTTGTGCTTTACTGTCTTAAATTAATTACTTAATTACTTAAAAACTATTTTGTGCATAAGGTTTTAAGAAATAAATCAAAAGAATACAGTTTTAATGCAGTAAATTAATTACAGGTAATTTTAACTTTACTTATTTTTGTTTGTTGTTAATAATAGGTAACATATAAAATGTATTTTAATTTAAAGATTCAGAACATGTGTTTCACGAATGGGCAGGTCCATCCTGGTGAGTGCCATGACCTCACAGGAGATCGGCGAGAAGTGGAAGTGTTATACTTCTGCGTTTCGCTTGGTGAGTGAGGTAGCTGGGATTAAAAGTTGGCAACTACGGGTGTTGCAAATGTCAATGGGCGGCGGTTTTCACTTAACATCAGGTGAACCGCCAGTCCGCTTACACTCTTCTCACAAAAAAAAGCTAAGCTGTAAATAAATAACTCATAAAATAAATGCATCCGGCAGCCCTCAGTTATAGTACGTATGTACCATAATACGTATGTTTGCATTATTACATCATATTACGTTATTAAGGATTTTTGTATCCAGTGTGTATCGAATCAACTGTAATAGGGCGTGCTTCGTAGTTGGTTTATGATTTGTGGACTGAACTGTACTCAGCGTCTAGTGACATTATAGAAAGGTAAGATTTCTGGTTGTGCGTTCGCTACAATTCGAGTAGTATGCAGGATTGCAGATAATTTGTAAACAGGTAAGTTCCCTGTCATACGATATAAAGAAGTTTATAGGATTAATGATTTATAAAGGGCGTTAATTTTTATATTGATATTCTCTAAACTTAAGACGAAATTGAAAAAAATGTAAATAAAAAATAATAAATATTTCAGGACATATTTTTACACAACGTTATCTAGTCCCAAACTAAGCAAAGCTTGTACTATTGGTACTAGGTTAAACATACTTTTCTTTTGTAAATAAATGCATAAGTACCCGGAGGACCCGAAGGTTTGTTTATTTTTTGGTAAATCGTGTATTTTGAAAATTACATTTAGATATAAATTACTGAATAATGAAATATGCGTAATATTTTTCGATCTTACCGACGTAATAATAAGAAAATATGAAGTGGC